GTAATCTTGAAGAAGAAAACAAAAAGGGAGGCATCACCATCCCAGACTTTAGCCTCTACTACAATGCTGTCATCATCAAGACAGTATGGTATTGGCACAAAAATAAACACATAGACCAATGGAACAGAATTGAGAACTCAGACCTGGACCCAAAGGTATACAGCCAACTAATCTTTGACAAAGCAGGAAAGAATATCCAATGGAAAAAAAAAAACAGCGTCTTTAACAGTTGGGATTGGGAGAACTGGACAGCAACATGCAGAAGAATGAAACTAGATCAATTTCTCACACCATACACAAAAATAAACTCAAAATGGATAAAAGACCTGAACGTAAGACAGGAAACCATCCAAACCCTAGAGGAGAAAGCAGGAAGCAACTATCCTTGACCTCCACCGCAGCAATTTCTTACTTGACACATCCCCAAAAGTAAGGGAATCAAGAGCAAAAATAAACGAGTGGGACCTCATCAAAATCAAAAGTTTCAGCACGGCAAAGGAAACAGTCCACAAAACTAATAGGCAACCAATGGAATGGGAAAAGATAGTTGCAAATGACATATCCGATAAAGGGTTAATATCCAAAATCTATAGGGAACTCACCAAACTCCACACCTGGAAAACAAACAAACCAGTAAAGAAATGGGCAGAAGACATGAACAGACACTTCTCCAAAGAGGACATGCAGATGGCCAACAGACACATGAAACGATGCTCAGCATCCCTCCTCATCAGGGAAATACAAATCAAAACCACACTGAGATACCACCTCACACCAGTCAGAGTGGCTAAAATGAGCAAATCAGAGAACTCTAGATGCTGGCGAAGATGTGGAGAAACGGGCACCCTCCTACACTGTTGGTGGGCATGTAAACTGGCGCAGCCCCTCTGGAAAACTGTGTGGAGGTTCTTCAGGAAATTAACAATAGAACTCCCCTATGACCCAGCAATAGCACTGCTAGGATTTGGCCCAAGGAATATAGATAGGAGTGCTGATGCATAGGAGCACAGGGACCCCAATGTTCATAGCAGCACTCTCAACAATAGCTAAAACATGGAAAGAGCGTAAGTGTCCATCAACGGACGAATGGATCAAGAAGATGTGGTTTATTTATACGATGGAATACTACATGGCAATGAGAAAGAATGAAATCTGGCCATTTGTAGCAACATGGATGGACCTTGAGGGTGTTATGCTGAGCGAAATAAGTCAGGCAGATAAGGACAAATATCATATGTTTAAACATATTGGAGGATTAGGAAGAACTTAACAGAGGACCATGGGGGAGAAGAAGTTGGGAAATGGTGGGGGAGAGGGAGAGAGGCAAACCATGAAAGACTCTTGAATGCTGAGAACAAACTGAGGACTGATGGGTGCAGGGGGGGGAGGGAGGAGATGGGCATGTTGAGGGCACTTGTGGGGATGAGCGCTGGGTGTTATATGGAAACCAACTTGACAATAAACTATTTAAAAAAATTTAAAAAGAATGGTAAAAAAAAAAGAAGATATGGTTTATATTATAATGGAATACTACATGGCAATGAGAAAGAATGAAATCTGGCTATTTTTAGCAACAGGGTGGAACTCAGGAGTGTTATGCTAAGTGAATTAAATCAGGTAGAGAAAGACTGATACTATATGTTTTCACTCATATGTGGAACAGGAGAAACTTAACAGAGGACTATAGGGGAGGGGAAGGGGAAAAAGTTAAAAATAGGGAGGGAGGCAAACCATAAGAGCCTCTTAAATACTGAGAAAAAACTGAAGGTTCATGGGGGTTGGGGGAGAGGGGGAAGTGGGTGATGGGCATGGAGGACGGCACTTGTTGGGATGAGCAGTGGGTGTTATATGGAAACCAACTAGACAATAAACTATATTTTAAAAAAATTATCAGGGGCGCCTGGGTGGCTCAGTTGGTTAAGCATCCGACTTTGGCTCAGGTCACGATCTTGCAGTTTGTGGGTTCGAGCTCCATGTCAGGCTCTGTGTTGACAGCTCAGAGCCTGGAACCTGCTTCAGATTCCTTGTCTCCCTCTCTCTCTCCCCTCCCCTGCTCACGCTCTGTCTCTCTCTTCCTTAAAAATAAATAAACATTATAAAATTTTTTTAAAAATTATCATGGTACTGAAGTTAAAACATTAATGAAATCCACAGAAAAAAAATGAAAATTTAATTTCATCTATTAAATCTTCGCAAAGGTCATATGCAATAGCAGCATTGATTTAATGTCTCCTCCTCCTTCCTTTTGTGTTTACTCTAGTACAAACAGGAACCACCAGGGAAGTGACGGAAATGCAAATAATGAAATGGAAAAGGAATCCTTACTCACACAGCTGAGTTTTAAGAGTGTTTGTCTTAAAGATCTCATGCTTTCCTCCATGCAAAAACTGTTCTGGAATGCTACATCGAATCAAATTTGCTGTAGTGGGTTAAGGATTAGAGTTTCATGTTTACATATCTTAATTTGAAAAAAAAAGTCAGGAATGTGGCAGCATAAAAAATTACCCAGTAAGTTTACGATAACACTGAATGCTCTAATCACTGAGCAAGAAGGTCTTCAGGCAAAAAAATTCTTAAAACGATACTGTAATATTTTAAGAAACATTTTAATCCCTGACTCCCTGCAAGTACTTTTTCCTTTACTTGACATTTTCCTATCGCTTCTTGGCCTTTTGGCTTTTGAGATCATTTTCCTAAGTTCAAGTCATTCCAAACTTTCAACAGGAGAAAAACCAAGGCATTTCGTCATTTGTTTTACTATGATTCACATTACAACTTTCTTTTAGAAGGACAGATAAATATACTTTCATCGTTTTCAGAAAAATACAAACACAGAACTAAATAATGAGAGTTCTTTCCTTTAGTTATTCATTTCAGCATGTACTAAGATAGTGGGCTTTTGGCCCATATTCTCTCTTAAACACTTTGAGTCAGATGAGGTCTTAAAGACCCTTCAAAAACAAGAAGTCCTCAAGTAATCTGAGAAGCACAATAATTAATTATTAGGAAATGATTCTACTTCATGATTTGCCTGATTTCTGAAAACCACATTCTCCAACATCCTGGATATATAACATAGTACAGTCCTCCTAACTTCCTCTTTGGTTGGATTCTCAGAGAAATCCCCCCTTACCTGAGTGGCTTATTCTCTGGGCCCACATCTGTAAAGCCCATTTCCTCCAGTTTGCATCGCCTGTAAAGTTCATAATGCCTAGTATGGGTCTGTTCTCGCAGATCCTCCATGTTTGTGCAAATGAGCATCTCTCGGAGCTTTACAAAGTCACAGTGATTTTCGTTTTCCACTAGTATGAAAAACAAGAAAAGAGCAACACCAATTTTTAATTCTTGGCACACTGCATTTGTTGAATGAATGAATATAAAAAACACATACAGTAAAATGATCAGTCTAACACCTACAACTATTTTATAGCAAGAACCAGGAAGAAATTCTTGCATTATACACACTGAATTATAGGCAATGTAAATTAACAGATTGGGAGACTGTTTGAATTTAGTAGGCAATGGATAAACAGGAAAGAAATACATTACATTATGTTACCATATGCTCCAGTTATTTCACTAATATTTTGTTAGTAGTTTACAAAACCATCCTCAGGAGTCTGTACCATTATTTTACTAAAACTTCAAAGTACTTAAGATATCACCTGTACATAATATAATTATTACATTCTTTGTATATAATGTCACATTTATGTTTGACACGATATAGAATTAGTGAATAAATACACTTAGTCCTCCTTACATAGTCCTTCTATTTATGGTGGCCCAAAGACTACAACTAAATGTGTTACCGTAACCAATAGTTTTAGGTACAATTACCATTTTTATATTTTTCTACACATTAAAAATGTCAAGTTTTGTCAATATTTTTTATTAATTACAAATTTGTCAATTTAAAAAAGTAGTAGCACTGGGAAACCAGTACTAGTAGAGGTAATCCATTTCCCATTAATTAGTACTACAATTAAATGAACCAAATAGTACTAATTACTTACTCATTATAATGTTAGATAAATCCCAAAATTTCTTAATTGCCTGACTAGTTTGTTTTAGAAATAGTAATATTTTGATGAGTAAAAATATATAAATGTACAAGATGTTTTTGTGTGCCCAGAATTACTCAGTAATTAGTTTATGTATCATGTTTAAACACTAGTATTTACAATCAGATTCTGTTCAAAGTACCTGACCAGTGCTTGCTACCTTCTGAATGTCTTGACACATCAGACATGAAATGTGTATGGGATAATGCAGAAAACAGAGAAGCTCTATCAGTTCCTACAGAGTTGGCTAAAACCAAACACATTCCACTCTCCTGATAAACAAATCAAAAGCCAAAATAAGTAACACCTCAGAATACACTGAATGCTACTTTCAGACTGTTAGATGACATACATACATATTCCTAGTAATCATTCATTTACCTTGTACAACACCCCAAGGGTATTGGCGAGCTTTGACCATCTTATTTCCAACTTTTACCTCATCCATACTTCCTACAACAGCAAATGGTAAATGTCCCTGGAAAGGAACCATGATATTAATCATATTTCATACTACTATGATAAATGCCTAACTAAAAAGTTTTATAAAAATAACAGATTAGAGAAAATTTACTAAACAACAAAGTTATTAAAATCAAATGATCTGCTATGCCTCCAAGTTTAAAATTTGGCAGTGAATATGTGCCAACTGGTCTATAAGAGTAAATTTCAGGCCCTATAAAGAAAATTATTTATTGAGCATCCCCTACATGCAAAGTATTTGCTATAGGAATACAAAATTATGGTATTGGTTTAATTTCCCTCAATATTATCTTTGCTCCAAAAGGCAATGTTGAGGAAATTGCACACATACATATACTCACACACACAAAATACATAACTAAAACATATATCTACATTGTGTACACAGATACATACTATATTAAATATACAGTGTACACAGATATACGATACTATAAGTAACATTTAAGTTCTTAACTAATGCGAAATGCAATGAATGTTACATAAACTTAGAGGAATGAGGGATTATTGTGAGCAGGAAGATACAACCTAAACAGGAGATGGATCAAGGAGAGTAAGTACTAACTTTGGTAAGGGGAAGATTTTGAACAAAGACAAATAGTTAGATTTAGGGAACAGTGAGTAAACTGATCTGTCTGAAACTGAGGATTAATATAGGGGAAAAGTCTAATGTAAAAAGTATTAAGTATTATGTTTAATATTTAATAATTGACAGTGTCTTAATTGTGCCTTTCTGGAAAATTATTCCAAGTGGGCACAAAAAATAAAATTGGATCAAAAGACAGTATAACATATAGATATTGAGATCACTTCATTTACATAGTCAGCTTTTTATATATTTAAAATATCTGAATGAAAAATCAGAAAAGGAAAAGGAGAAATGGCATGAACAGTTACTCAATGTCAATGTGTTAGGCAGTGAACAAAGATTGTATCCTCACAACAACCCATAAGATAGGTCTTAACCCAATTTTGTAGGTAAGTTAACAGTCTCAGGGAGGTTAATAACTCCCAGAACAATATATGATTAAGTCTATCTAACTCCAAAACCCATGACTCTTCAAAATATAACCAGATATTTAAGAAATTTAGTAGCCTATAGAAAGTAACACAAAGAAATTAGCCATCTTTGCTTATATTAAATGAAAAGTTATGTGAATGTTTAATATGGACATGTGACACTGTAAGGGAGAATGAGCTTTAATACCAGATTATAAAGATATCCTTAAAGATTTTGAGATTCTAAAGCATTCCGAGGGAGAGTATAAAGACTTCACATGTTTTTCAAGACAGGCTAGAAAGCATCTTCCAAAGGCAATTAGTAAGTATAGTGCCACAAAAGGAGGACCCCAGCCTTACCAATGTATCATTTGATTTAGGTGAAAGAAGAGGAAAGAAAATAAGCTCAAAAATATATTCTCATTATATTCTCAAAATAAAACATTTTTCTATACTGAACTTTTTGAAGTTTCATCTTGTGTGAAGTTTTTCTGAAGACACAAGTGAAAGTGTGTTAGTAGGAATGTCACTTGTAAATTACTCTTTTCACATGTAAAATAGAATTAGCATTCAAGAGGAGCTTACATTCATTGAAGCATTGATTTTAGCAATGGTTTCATCATCTGTTGGGAACTGGTATATCTGGACACCGTTGCTAACCAATTCACTCATGAGCTTGATCTTAAACTTCTGTAATTCAGCTTTAGAGATTGCATCTGCTTTGGCAATCACTGGTATAATGTTCACCTACCAACAATAAAGAAAAAACAACATCTCATAATTGAGGATTTATTTTTTATTCTGTAGTTTTTGCATTCAAAACCACTGTGTCGACAAACTTCTTTAACCTAAATCAGATGAACAAACTATGGTTCTGCTCATTGCCTGTTGATATAAATAAAGATTTACTGGAACACAGCCAGGCCCACTCATTTACATATTATCCATGGCCACTTTCATGTTACAATAGCAGAGATGAGCAATTAACTCAGAGACCATATGGCCTGTAAAGCCTAAAATATTACTTACTACATGGCCCTTCACAGAAAAAGCTTGCCAAGCCCTAACCTAGAAAATCTCTGGCTGTCATTGTCACCATATTCCCCTATACAATCATTCCTACAGACGGTGGCCTTAATAGTAACTCCTTTTAAAATGCAGAGCTCTTACAAGATTAATCTTACACCTGAATTTAGGGTTAGAAATTGTATATTTTCTTCTCTTTCTCAAAGTCTCTTATAATTCTATCACATACAAAATGTAAGCAGGAAGCTGAGATTGCCTGCTTAATTCACTAAGATTTTCTTATTTCTTAATAATCTAAGCACTCAATAATCAGAGTGATTGATCCCTTGGCAAAACTATGAAGCAGGTTTCTCCTTCTGCCCCACATTTCAGCAGGTCCTCTCCCCAGTCAATACATCCAATCTGCAAGTCTCTGTTGTTAGAGACTCCTAGCTAGATGTTGAAGGAAGGAAATTTTATGAATATCAACTGAAAGTGTTCATGACTCAAAGGAATAACACTCTTAGCATTAAAGTCCTATCATTGACCAGAGAGGAAGAAATCTGGGGTCGTGAAGACTGATTAACTTTATATTAATCTCACAAAAGACTGATGTCTCCACAAATCTAAGGGTCTATAGGGCTTCTGTTTGTTGGTTTTTTGGGTTTTGTTTATTTAGAGAGAAAAACTTTAGGCTAACTAATCATATGTATTAAGAGAGTGAGATACCAATATAATTTTCAGAATGAAAAGTAAAAATCATAACTCCTATTCTATTCTTAAGTTCTTGCTCTTCTCCAGTTTCACACTGACTTACTGTGTATATTCAGATTTATTAGTCTTTAAATATGCTCCACAGAAGATAAAGATTTTTTTTATCTACCCATGAAAACTTCCCAGCAATTGTGGGTAAACAGCTTTAATGCCAAATTAGTGAAAGTACATAAAAATTTGATGCCAAGTTTCAATATTGCATACTTAGACTGTCAGTAATTTATACCAAGCTAATAACTTATAACTGCTTCCATAGTAAACAGCAGAAGCATGCTCTAATGTTAAGTGCCTGACATTAAGCTTTTGATTGCCAAGATACTCGTTTCAAAGACATCCAGGTCAAATGAACATATTGCCAGCTGTATGACATGGTTACTAGCAAAACTGAATAAAGCACAGAACCACCCCCACCCATGAAGTTCTCCTTTTAGAAAACCTGGGTGACTTACCCAGGTAACTGACCACTTGTGTGAGCCTACTTCTCCCTCCTTGTGCCCTAATTCTACTCTTATCCTTTAAATTTGCCAAGAGTGAACCCGTAAAACCTTAGACACCCAACCCTCAACTCTAATAAAAGCAGAACCCAGGTTCACTGTCAACTTTATTGTGTGGCCCTCCTGCACGCTGTGTACCCACCAGGAGCTGTGAGTAATAAAAGGATCTTGTTCTTCAAAGTTCCCTGATGGTATATGGCTGAAGTGCATCCTGAGATCTTAGCAAGAGCTACAAGGGCTGGCTCAGCCATGAGACTGGCCCTGGCCCATGACAAGCTCCTGTCTGTGGGGTTTGCTATGAGTAATATAGTTAGGGGAGTATCTCAGGCATTCCTAGCCAAAAATATCACTCTAATTAGGCTGGGAGGGATATCACAGACTAAATGCTACACACCTATGTATTTATATATCACTGAGAGGGAAAGAGATGTTTCACACTGCATGTCAAACTTAGGAATAAAAGACAAGATATCAGTTTAATTAACCCTCACATCTGTCCACTGAGATAGGTATTATTCTCCTTAAGTTTTTATTTTAGAGGTGAGGAAACTGAGGCTCAGGAGGCTAAAGAAACTTGTCAAAAAACATGAAGCTATTAAGGGACAGACACAGTATTTAAAATCAGCCTCTACTGACATCGAATTCTATAATGTTTATAAAGATTACATGATATTGCTTCCGTCTAGCTAAAACAAACTTGCACATGCTTGATTTTATGTTGATTTTATGAATTTCCATATAATCAGACTCAACTATTAAAATACTGGGTAAATGATTACAACATCTAAATAGATGAATAGACTATCATGTAAGCTTCATCAAGTTTTTGCTAAAGCCAGGAGACTGTGCACCTAGTCAAAAGTCAATCTATGTTCCAAGACCTCAATGGCAGCTTCATGTTTTCCACATGGATTTTCTATATAGAAAGTAGACAGACATTCTGGACAGAATGCCCTTTTTCCTGAATCCTATTTCATAAAATTATTAGCCAGAATAATGAAAGCTGCATTCCTCACACCATCAAAGGCTATAGGGGGGTGCCTGGGTAGCTCAGTTGGTTAAGTGTCCAACATTGGCTCAGGTCATGATCTCATGGCTCATGGGTTTGAGCCCCGCGTCAGGCTCTGTGCTGACAGCTAGCTCAGAGCCTGGAGACTGTTTCAGATTCTGTGTCTCCCTCACTCTCTAACCCTCCCCTGTTCATGCTCTCTCTCTCAGAAATAAATAAAACATTAAAAATTTTTTTTTAATTTAAAAAAAGGCTATGGGAAAACTGTGGAGTTTTTTTAGAATAAGATACTAGTCTTCAACCATATTTTACACAAATTTAAAAAAAATCCCGAAGTAAGTAAATTTGTGGATATTATTTTTATAGTTCCCTGAATTTATATGTCACTTCTTGGCTCAGAAGTTCAAAACTAGGTTTTCTTGGTATGGTTCAAATTAAAACATAATTACTGTAACACATGATGAAACATGAAACCTTAACCTTTGTCAATGAACTTCTCAATAGCATCATTAAGTAAAATCAGTGTCAGATACTGGCATGCAATTTAATCACTAAAAAAAAGGACTAAAATTTTATGTTAACATATTTTTCTTTGCAGTTCAACTTCCAAATGGAATTTCTGTCGAAAATAACCTTAGATTGAAACTTATCAAATGTTTTTAAAATGCACAGAATAAAAGTTAAGATATATATATCATAAAGATATGTTAATAGTTCAAAATAAATATTAAAGCATAAGCTGATTCCTTTTCCAAGGCTACCTTGCTGTCAAGGCTCTTCATCGTTAAGAGATCCAGTGTCTTCAGGGAGTGACCTGTAGGTGAGATGAAGTAGAGGCACACATGGATGCGAGAATCGTGGTAGTTAAAGAGAGAACGCTTGATTTTTAGCTCCTCTTGGAGATAGGCCTCAAACTGAGCATCTATGTAGTCAACTATTGGTTGGTAGCTGAAAAAAATAAATATTAAATATTTAATACAGCATATTCATGCTACCTTAAGAAGATATTTACATAATTCTCAAGTGTAAGATGTTTATTTTCACCAATTAATAAACAGCTACTATCTATGCTAAACAGAGAACTTTAGTAATAAGACTAATTGTGCAAAACATGCACGTACAAAGATAGTACTTTAAAACCATCAGTACATCCTGTGCTTTAATTGTTTTATAGAAACTGAATGGATATACAGAATGTACAGACTCAATCTGACAAGGATTCCCAGACTTGCCAGACTGCTGAATGAAGCCAGGCATCTAACTATAGCCAAACTGGACATGACATATTATTTTACTGAGAAAAGGTACGAGTATTAATAACTTAAAAGATATTTAAGTCAAACTGTATGATTTCTTGCTTCTTAAATCAGATCCATAAGACATGAAAAATAGCAACATAGTAAGGAGGAAAGCCATATATAAAATGAAAGTAACCAGTAATGCAGACACAATTTTATTTTTAATTCTAAACAAAGGAAAGCACATCAAACTCTATGCTCTGAGTCCTTGCCCAAATCACTTCTCTTCCCTGGCATTCCTTTTTCTCTCTAGCTACTTCCTTCTGTGCATCCTTTAAGATGCAAATCATGTCACAGTACATGTGCACCAGCATTCATATTACTCTGTGACTATTCCACTTCATTCTGATATGCTAGATCACTGTCTACTCAATTCAACTTTCTACTCTTAACCATTCTAATTAAGTAAATCTGGGTTTCTAAGTGAAAATAACAGCAAATATTTCCTCTGTCAAATTCCCTGGACACATTTATAATTATCTTTGTAGCGCAAATGGAGTGGTACTTCATAGAGCTGAGATACTCAATACATGTGCACAGAACTGAATTCTTTCATTAAGTTGCCTGACCATTTTAGTCCTTTAGGATTATCACCTCTTTTAATCTCATAGAATGCCTTGTTCTTCCCACACAGATGATAAAACAACATGAGGATAGACAGTATCTTCTACTTCTATGTTCTCCACAACATCTAGCACAATACTTTGAGCATTATCAGAGAGACTATTAGGAACACCAGTATTCACTATCAGGAACACTATACTTGGGAAACTCATCTAAATGTGACTCAACATGATTTCCTCTCCAAAATAATAAAATAGTAAAAATTAATTTGTAAGCACATATATTAACATAAAACAATCCAAAGCTTTTATTAATGACTTGAAAGAGATGAGTAATATGACCTATTTTATGACCTAATAGCCATAAATCGTCCTCTACCTGACTGTGTTGCATTCAGGTCAAAATGAAAACCAAAACATTTTCTGCTAAATAAATAGTCTACCATTAGGAGTTCTTCCATAGTAACTGGCTCTAGGTTTCCACTTCCAATACACTGCATATTCATTCTTCATGTGAAACAAAAGAAAATGGCTTAAAATACAAAAATAACCTCCTCAAAAACTTCCAAGTACTCATAAAATGATAAGGAATTAATAACCAGGTCAAAATTGAAGAGAGTAGAACCTGAGAGAGGTGAGCAGAGAACTTAGAGCAGAAGTCAATAAATGGGCCAAATCCAGACGATGCCTGTATATTTATTGTAAGTTTCACTGAAACACAGCCCCGTTCACTGGTATATGTATTGGCTATGGCTGCTTCTGTGTTACAGTGGCTGAGCAGAGTAGTTTGGACAGAGACCATATATGTCCTTCAAAGTCTGGAATATTGACTATTTGGCACTTTACAGAAAAATTTTACTAACCCCTGCACTAAAAGCATCAGTGCTAGTATTGTCTTGAGATCAGTTGTCAATCTAGTTCTTAAGCATTAGCTCTGAAGGACTCATAGGACAAGAAGGAAGAAATCAAAATCCAGGACCCACACAAAGTGGCAATCTATTTTAAGAGACTGACTCCCCACATTAAGCTTTGATCCTGAAAGCCTGCATTTTCAGGGTTAAGAATGAGCTAGAAGTTAACCTACAATTCCTCCCCTCCCCCAAGTTGTTGCAGGGAAGGTTGCCCTGGCAGTAAGTAGGGAAAATAAAAGTAAAGGAGAAAAAAATGTCCTTGAGAATTTGAGGCCACAGGGTCTACCCTCACACATATCCAGAGCCCAGGTTCACAGTGCCTCTTTGATGCTGAAAAACTCGAGCCATGAAACGGATTTAAGGATCTTCAGAGTATTAATGCCACAGGGGCCTAACATAAGCAAATCTAAATCTGTTCAAAGGAAGACATCTTCATCTTAGACCTCAAAGTATCTCTGCAAATAATTTTTCAAAGACCATGGCACCTACAATAAAAAATATCAAAGCATATGAGAAAAAAAAAAGCACAATGAATAAGAACCAAAGGAAAAAAACAAACATCAGTAAAATAACTTATAATCTTAAATATACAAAATGGTATGAAGATTTCAAGACTAATTTACTAATGAAAAATCAGTTACTAAAAATCACATTCTTACAGATTAAAAAAGAGAAAATACAATCTTTTCTACAGAATGCGAAAAAAAAATAATATATTTATTCATGATTTTAAAAAACCCTAAAAAAAAAAAACCCTTACTAGTAATACAATGGGAACTTCCTTACTCCAACTTAAATTTTTAAAAAAGCAAGCAAGCATAATATATGGTAAAAATAAAGCTTTCCTTCTGGACCAGGACAAGGCAAAGATACCCACTAATACCACTGACCATCCAATATAATACTGTAAATCCTACCCAGTGCAGTTAGGTTTTAAAAATGGAAGAAAAAAAATAAAAACTGTCTTCAGCCATGATGAAGTAACTGGGACTGGGTTTACTCTCTTACCCTAAACAATTAGAGACCTGGATAAACACAAGAAGAAGGCTTTCAAGACATGGGACAATACGCCATATAAAACTGTGTTCATTGAGAAGGTAAATAAATGAGAAGCTTTATGATTCCCTCAGCTTACTGCCTGGAGACAAGTTTCCAGGGTACAGCACAAGAGATCACAGAGCCTGGCAGACTCACCAAGTTGAGGAGACAGAAACAGTTCAGGGAGGCCAAGGCAAACAGAATTTGTAGGCAAGAACACTGAATAGAGGGCAGCTACACCAACAAAAGTGCTAATGATCTGGACAGCGGTTCCCTCCAGTCTTTGGTAAAGCACTAATCTAAATATATGTGTGAGGAAAAAACCTAAGACTATATATATATCCTATATTACAGTCCTGGTGGTGGTTATAAAACCAAGTATGTGTCAAAATTAACAGAATTGTACACTTTAAAAAAGCAGTGAATTTTATTTATTCTATATAAATTATACATCAATAAAACTTATTTTAAAAGGAACAAAAGAACTGAAGAAAAACAAATCTTTTGAGAGATTATACCATTACATACATAGAAAATCAACACAAATTTAGAGACAAATTGTTGGAATTAATCAGAGAATTTACAAACATCCCTATATGCAAAATTATATTTCTATACACCAAATAGAAAATTAAGTATTTCTAAAACATATCATCTACGAGAACATCAAAAATGCCAATATCTAAGAATAAATTTAAGTAAAACCGTATAAGATCTCTACATAGAAATTATAAAGTTTTAAAGCAACATGTCACAGGCCTTTGACTCTACCACTAATCTTCTTCCTCTAGAACACCCACATAAATGTGCTGAAAAGGATAACATAAGTCACATAATTATGCAAAATATTTCTCTTTTCAAGCAAACTTTAGGAAACTAGAAAATTACCTCTAATAATGAAAATATATGCATTTCAAAACAGAAAAAGAACAAAAAGTTATTGTTTTACTCTAATCTATTTCCCGATTTCATACTTTAAATTTCATATAAAATCTATCATCATTCTTTATAGTACTATAAGAGAAATAATGACATCATATAAAATATAAATAACAGTTTCAATGTCAAACCTTTCCTGCAATGCTTAATAATGTACCTGGCTGATTTGGCTAGAATTTCACATACAAAATAATTCAAGCACCGTGGACTGGGCCATTATGTATTTGCCACTGTATGTCTCACTATTTTTCCCTCAACAAAATAAGTCCTGCCTGAAAATTATTACAAATCACTTACTATATACCGAATCAGCATATGAAAAAATAATTAAAATAATTTTTGCTGAAATACACATTTCAATAATGTGATTCAAATTATTCTAAAAAAATTAGACAACTGGATAGAAAATGTCAATTTGTTAAGAATAAAACATTGCTGAATTATTAAAAAGATTAAAGTCTGAGAGGAAGGGTTTGAATTCCCATAGTAGAAAACCAAACCATGGCTCGTGGAACAAGACAAATGTCTTTTTTTTTAATATTTTTACTTATTTTTAAGAGTGAAAGAGCATGAGTGGGGGAAGGGCCGAGAAACAGGGAGACACAGAATTTGAAGCAGGTTCCAGGCTCTGAGCTGTCAAGCACAGAGCCCGATGCAGAGCTCGAACTCCCAAACCATGAGATTATGATCTGAGCCAAAGTCGGATGTTTAACCCATGTACCCCAGACAAATGTCTTAAAATATGAAAAAATGTGTTTTATTACAGTAAGAAAACACATACCTCTCTTCTTTGTTTATTTGGTCACCAAATCCTATTGTATTCACAATAGTCAATTTCAATCGAACATTACTTTCGTTGAGTTCATATGTCTGAGCTTTAAGTCTAACATGTGGGTAAAAATGTGAGGATTCATGGTCTTCAAAATTAGTATTAAATAGTGTGTCAATCAGTGTTGATTTTCCAATTCCAGTCTCCCCTAAAAGAAACAAAGGTAAATCTTCACAGATGCAAAGGACAAATGAGAGGAAAAAAAAAAAAAAAATAGAACTCCCAGAGTGGTTTCAAGGATCCCAAATATTTCAAACATTTCAAAGGCTGAGTTGTCTATGAAAGACATACATGTTAAGGCTGGTCCACTGAGTCATTAGCAGAACATAAAGGTAAGTATGTATGCTAAGTTACTCAGAACTCTGAAGAAAGCACTGAAATATTTAAAGAAAAAAGTGTAAAGCAGTAAAGCTAAGAAAGACAAAACTAGCAGAATTTAAATAACTGAAAAAAAATCTGTGATCATGCTATCAAATTAATAACATGAATACCATACTGTTTGCAAGAATGGAGAGAACACGGGAATATAAAGGAATAATATAGAGGAAGAGTTTGGCTCTTACCCACACAGAGAATATTAAAACAGAAGCCTTGCTGAATGGATCTATTGACCAACTGATCAGGCAAACTCTCAAAACCAACATGGCCAGACATAGTTAAAGAACGAATATTGTTTCTTTTTTGCTGGAAGAAAACAAAGACAATGGCAATAATTTAAAAAAAGAAAAAGTTTCACTAAAACAGGATATAGGCACATTTGAAAGGATAAATATAGTTTTTCAAAGAAATTAAAGAGTTTATGATCATTGTACCTTCATCAAGATATAAATGTATTAAGTAAATTTGTGAGAAATTTGTGTCCAGATCCTCAAAACACATCCGCATTTCTTATTCTTTTCATACAATGAAAGTCCAGCATTGTTTATCACACTCAAATATTTGATTTCCAAGAAAAAGGAACAGACTCATGTAAACTATGGTATATTCATTCACAAAATGGAATGTTTAAAGTAATTAAATATGTTTACAATAAATATTTAGTAAATTTTAATTTAAATGTCATATGAAAAAAGTACAACACAAAATTATATAGTTTCAGCTCCCAGTAATGTCAGAGTTAACCTATGTTGCAGTAATATCCCTGCTAATTAACAATTATAAACAATTCTTCCAAGTCACTGGAGTGCAACCAAAGGCCAACGGACACTGGATGAAATGAGACTCTTGGGAACCGGAAACCATGCAGGGTGAGATGCACATTTTCTAGGTCTTTCTGAGGGCACAACCCAGTCACTGCTACACAAAGAAGACAGACCTCAAGATGGAAGTGGTAGTCTTACTGGGTTGAGTAGTCAGTTGGAAACAAGGGAAAGTAGATCAGCTGAAAACTGAAGAAGAAAATTCCAGAAAGGAAGGAGTCCAAAATCTACAAATACACTCCTCTTAAAACTTTGGCTGAACTGCACAAGTACAAGGGGAACACAAAGAGCCTAGCCGGAGGCAGGGATGGAAATTGGAAGGAGCTATATAGAGTATTCAAGAATGCTATCCTGGGGAGCATTAATTTTAAGTCTGTAAGTTAAAGGGGCTCAGTAAACCCTTCAGGCTTTCCACTGAAAACCTATATGGACCACATTTTAGGAGTAAGGATCACCACCTAGATATCAGAAATGTTCCATAGTACACAGCTGAAATAGACCTGCTCTAACAAAGCCTATAACAAAGGTTCAACATGAACAATGCAATAACCTAACAATTTACTGCCTGCTAGAACAAAGGTCAACACTCTTCAGAAGAAGGAAACAAAATCTAGCACCTCCACAATGTAGCATCCACAACATCTACCATACAATAAAAAATTACTACAGAGGAAGAAGTAGAAAAATGTGATTCACAGTTGAATCAGCTGATAAGAACTTCATTTTTTTTTAATGTTTTAATTATTTCAGAGAGAGAGACAGTGATCAGGGGAGGGTCAGAGAGAGACGGAGACACAGAATCCAAAGCAGGCTCCAGGCTCTGAGTTGGCTGTCAGCACAGAGCCTGACATGGGTTCAAACCCAGTAGCCGTGAGATCATGACCTGAGCTGAAGTCAGACACTTAACCAACTGAGCCACCCAGGCGCCCCTCAGCTGATAAGAACTTTAAAGTAACTATGATAAAGATGCTGAAGAAGAAAACTATACTCTTTTTCTATAAGAAAAAGAGATGGATATATTGGCTGACATGACAGAATTACAAGAGAAATATGGAAGCTCTCAACAACAAAAGGCAGCAAATGAAATTCCTAAAAGGAAAAATGCAACATCTAAATAAAAAACCTATTGAACCATATTATCAGCAGATCAAACAACGGAAGGAAATATTTTTTTCAATAGTTATTATCCAAGCTAAATATCTTTATTTCTCCAAGCTAAAAGTCTCTCATAGAAAAGATAAAACTGAAATAGAGCTCCAAAAACTGTGAAATGATATCAAATGATCTAACATACCTGTAAATGGAATCATATAGAAAAGATGGGTAGGGGGACGCCTGGGTGGCTCAGTTGGTTGAGACTCTGACCTCGGCTCAGAACATGATCTCACGGTTCGTGGGTTCGAGCCCCGCGTCGGGCTCTGTGCTGACTGCCAGCTCAGAGCCTGGAGCCTGTTTCCAATTCTGTGTCTCCCTCTCTCTCTGACCCTCCCCTGTTCACACTGTCTCTCTCTCTCTCCTAGAAATAAATAAAACATTAAAAAAAATTTTTAAAAATTAAATTAAATTAAAAAAATAAAAAAATTTTAAAGAAAAGAAAAATGAGGGTCAAAGGACGAGAAGGGGCATACCACTATGAATCACAGCATTTGATTGAAAATGTTTGCAGTGAAACTACTTTGAGTTCTAGCTCAGAGAGCATAATCCAGGTGGGANATAAATAAAACATTAAAAAAAAAAAAAGAAAGAAAAGATGGGGAGAGACTGGAGGAGGGTGGAAAGAAATATCTAAGTAACAGTGATTGAAATTTTTCCAGTTTTCTAAACATGAACTCAGAGATCTAAGAATTTCAGCAAACTACACACATGAAAAATCCAGAGGGATCCACAACTAGGCGTATCAGAACAAAATGTTTCAAAAAGAGGATACAGAAAAGTTTTATGAGCAACCAGATGTGGGGAGACACATTACACACAAATAATACATAAAATGACTACAGTTTTCTCACGAAAAATAATGCAAAGCATAAGGTCACAGAACATATTCAATAAAATGCCAAAAGAAAAAAATGACATGTAAATGTGTGTAAAAGAACTTTTTGCTTGTTTTAATTTCTTGAAAATATGATCATTAAAAGCAACAACAGCAATATATTGCAGGATTTGGAATCACGGAGAAACAGAATGTATGATAAGACAGCACAACATAGAGAGGGAATAGACAGTTACAGTTGTTAAGATTTCTGTATTATATATGAAGCATTATAACACTGAAGATACATGTAATAAATTAAAGCCTACACTGACTAGTATTTTTAAAAAATAAAAGATCACAAAGAGGTATAGCTAATAAGTCAATAGTAAAGATGAAATGCAATCATAAAAATACTAATCCAAAAAAAGGCAGAAAAAGAAGAAAAATGAAAGAACAAATGGGACAAGGAGAAAACATATAGCAGCAAATTGGCAGACCTAAACTTAGTTATATCTATAATTAAATTAAATGTAAATGGTCTAAACCACCAATATGTGATAGAACTTCTTGTGATGGTGGAACTGTTCTGTATCTGATCTGTGCAACAGGTAGCCACATGCAAATATTGAACACTTCAAATGGGTCGAATGCAACTGAGGACCTGGTTTTTAACTTTTATTCAACTAATTTAAATTTAAATAGCCACATGTAGCTAGTGGCTACCATAATGGACAGTGAATATCTAAACATTCCAATTAAAAGAAGGAAACTGTCAGACTGGATAAAAGAACAAGCTTCAACTCCATGCTGTCAATATAGTAACTGACAAGGTCAATCTAAAATTTATAAGGAAATTCAGACGATTTAGAACAGCTACAACAATTATACAAAGTTGAAGGACTTATACAATCCAATCACAAAGCTAACAATCACCAGATAGTGTGGTATTGGGACAATCTTATTATTTATCTGTCTACTTTATCAATATTAAAAACTTGTGATCATCAAGGAATATGTAAGTCACAAACTGGAAGAAAATATTATATATATGACATATATACATGACAAAGCACAAATACTCAGAATACTTAAAGAATTCATATGATTCAGGCTAGCAGGCAAAATGGCGGAGAAGTAGGGAGTTTGCTATCTCCGGCCTGCATCTTTCAAACAAAGAAGGGCTGAAGCCAAAAAAACCTCTGAACTGAAAGAGGCTGGGAGTAAAAGAGGCAGAGTCCACTAAAAAGAAAGCCTCAGAGGGGTGTGACTGCGAACTGGGGAAGACAAATAAGGGCGGGGGGGGCGGGGGGCTCAGAGGCACGGAGGGGAAGGAGTTCCCTGTCTGCAGAGAGAAAAAGAAAAAAAAAGCAGTTGAGGAATCTTAGAAAGGTCCCTGGAAGGGAGAAAAAAGCACAGCCAGGACAAAGAGGAATTGTATTGTCCCATCTCTAGCTGCAGGGCTTTCAGAAAGAAATCCCACCTCTAGTCTCAGAGATTTCTTCCCACAGGGTGCCCAGGGAACACAGTTGCAGTTGGATTCAAAAGGAGCTGGTCCCATACTCAATCCCCCAAACCTCCGGTGGGAAGCGCCGGGGCTTGCGGGATTACACTCCAGGTGGTATTATTATTGCAAACCAAGGAGATCTGGAAATGAGGCTGGGCACAGGAAATAAACCCCCGCCCACCTTGGCTGCGACCGCAGCACAGTGATATCGGACGCAAAAGAGTGCTTTGCAACACCTGGTTCCAGAGAGGACTGGGGGGTCGCCATCTTTCTCCCCACAGCCACCAAGGTGGGGCACTGAGGGACACAAAGTGGAGGTGAGACCCACCTACACCAAACCACGCCCATCTGCATTACCTAGTTGTTTGGTTACCTGAGCCTGGCTATGGAAGCAGCCCCTCCCCCAACATCAACACTGACCACATTGCCATGATTGACTCTAGATCAACTCTTGCTATTCAGATATTCTCCCTTATCTAGTCCATTTCTCTCCCCTCCTCTGGACCTGGTTTTCTGGTTATAGGTTTGTTAAAATAGACATATATAATCCATTCACTTGATGCATGTTCTATCTCCATCATTACCTTCCCTTCTCGCTCCCTCTGAAATAATCAGACTATATAGCTTCTCTGGGTAACATTATTTCCAGGTTTTTTTCTTCTTCTTCTTTTCTTCTTTCTTATCTTTGGTATTTACCTTACCTCCTGCCTTATTCTCCTTTCTCTTTACCTGAAATAAGCCTTTTAATCTCTCTGCATGGTCAACTTTCAACATCTCTTTCTCCCCACCCCTGTTATTTCTCATTTGTATATGCTCCTCCATCAGCACACTACTCTTTATTTGTAGATGTGATTTCTGGTTTTATGCTTTTAGACTGTCCTTTGTCTTTTGCTGTTTTGCTGTTTTTGTTTTTGTTGTTTTGGGGGTTTTTTTGTTTGTTTTTTTATTTTATTTTTTTTTCCTTTCAGTTTGCTAGTCTCTTTGTGCATGTGTGTGTTTGTGTTCCCTG